GTGAAGCTGATCACTCACCTCCAGCTAGCGCTGAGGTCAAGAAAATATGGATCTATACATCCACTCCCCCATGCGACTTCATGGCGTAGTGCTTAATTAGATAAACACAGGGACAACTTTACCTTCATGTTACATATTGTAACTATGACAAAGCTGAGACTGATGCGATGTTTGGAATCTTCCTTCATATGAGTAAAACTATTGTACATGACAGCAAATTAGCTCATTGAATTTAAATTCAGATTGCTAATAAACGATATAATAAAAAAAAAATATGAGTAAATTACAGACCACAGAGAGAAATGGAAAATGTGTTTGCAGATGACGCAACACTCTCGCATTCCATCCCAAGCCTATAAATGTCGTCCGCAGTAGAGACAAGACATAAGAAGGCCAAGAAGAAGGTGGAAGTAGATGTAACAATGTTAGAGGCCGGAACAGGCGATTCGCCTAATCCATGAAGTAGATATAATCTCAGGAATTTACGCGCCTCCGCCATATTTGTAACTCTTAATGTAGAATTCAATTTTAAAGTTTATATGTGTGTTTCCATACAAAATTTCACGAGTTTTTCTCTTTCGGTTGGGATTTTGATAGCTGGAAGCCACCTTTCCTCATTACCCCCCCCCAAGTAATTTGAGAATAAGGCTCGTAATTAAAACCAAAAAAGTAATTTTTACAGAATGAATGTCTACACGCTGGACAACAGAAATCCAACTGTAGGGGAAATAATTTACTTGGAGGTTTGCCTCCACTCCCAAATACTTCTTCATGGCAGGGCGCTTAATTAAGCACAGGAGCATGCTTACGTTTTTACTTCCAGTAGGCATATTTTATTTCCATCGCACAAACAGAGATGACACTGGCTGTTAATGTGTCTGATATCACGTTCACAGGACAACAAGACTCAAAATATGCATGCCTTAACACATAGTAGTGACAGATTTTTGCAATATTTTAATACTGAAACCCAGGCTAACAAGTTAACTGCAGGAGGTGATTTCCTAGGTCTTTGTGATCAAAAAAGTTCATATAAACATGTGTCCGATTTTGGACGGTTACGGAGTTATGACCGTTTTTTTCATTCCCGTACACGCCCTCGTGTGAACCGCGACTATCATCTGACGGGTCGCTATTTTTAGCCAGCTACAGACAGAGCGTTCTCATTATCTCGACATTTGAGAGGTACCTAAGGCGGGTTGGGTTGGTATGTACCCGCGAGGTTCACAACCGAGCGGCAGCCTGTGTTGCGGCCGGCGGTGGCATTTTCGAAAATCAGCTTTAAGCACCAATAAATTCAAATTAAAGGTAATTTCACGAAGTTAACTTTACATTCATACTTTAAATGTATCATGTATTATGCTGGTTTATTATTTTGTTCCGTTTATTGTCAGTAATCGTTACCTTCTATTCTGAGTTTAAAACGGTCATAACTCCGTAACCGTCCAAAATCGGACACATGTTTATATGAACTTTTTTGATCACAAAGACCTAGGAAATCACCTCCTGCACTTATGCCCTAAAGTCGTGAAACACCCTGTATGTGCTACGTAATGATAATGACCTACTACGAGTCTATAACATATTCTATTGTTGTATGATTTTGGCGCTTTCGCAACGAAAAGTTAAAAAAAATATGCCTAATAACATGTCTGTCTATCCACATGTAACAACTCAAAAATTAAGAACGGATTCCCATGAAATTTGGTACTGGCGAATTTTCTCTGAAAATTTTAGAAATGTTCTTTTGTTAAAACTGGGCAAAAACAGAGGGCTCTTTACATGAAGACCTACTAAGTACTGCTCGCACATGCAGCATAACTCGACAAATATTTATGGGGCGAAAATTCCGGAATAAAATTGATTTTAAAGGGTTCTGATGATGGCGTGTAACACATAGAATTCCTGTTTTTTGGGGCTTTTTCCATCGTCCGGTATTCTAGAGACTAAAATAATACGACGTTTCAGAAACTGGATCTGTTTCCGTCCTCAGGTAAAGTGGGGAGAACACACCTACTCAGAGGCCCAAGTGAGTAGGTGTCTTCCCCCTTCACCTGAGGACGAAAACAGATTCATTTTCCGAAACGTCGTATTTTATATTCTCTAGAATACCGGACGATGGAAAAAGTCCAAAACCCCAGTAATTCTGTCAGATAAAAGTTGTAGAGGAAATGCATTACACAATGTTCGTTACACTTTCTCACTAATCCTTACATTTTTCTGAGATAATGCAACGAAATGGAGGGAAGCGACCACGGTTACTATGCTGTGCATGATTTTCCAAACGTCTGACAACCAGTCGTAATAACTCGATAAGTTAAACAACCCCCCAATTTGATTTTTACGTCGTATCTCTACATTAATCTCCGCTGCTGATGCGCATCAAGCCATATTGAAAAAAAAACAGTGGAGTGTGCTGGGTGCGTTCCTTTGTCCTCGTGCTCTAAACACAGCGACAGCTGGACGCAGTCCTCACTAGCTCGCAACAATTTTTAATGATTCTTGAAGCAATCTAATTGTTTATTTTTGGTGAGCCCTCGCGCTTTGTCTATGTCTGTATAGCGAAGGCTGGCCGGACGCCATATTGTCCCAGGTGGATCCTGTCTCGTACCCCCAAACTTTTAGCGCCATCTTTGTTTATCGGAAAGAGAGAAGGAGGGTTTAGATTATTTCGGAAACTTGGGTCGTGGGTGGCATTTACTGTTTAATTTAAGACAAAGGCGAAAAGTAAACGTGCGCCAAAGCAATACAGACATATTTTCTTCTTAATAAAAAAAATATATTCAGAAATATGCTGTTGTTTCGAAATCGTGACTGGGTGTATAACAGTACATGGTAGCGCGCCTGTACACGCGTAACATCTCCGCTGTCAATGCCGCATAACTGCGTGCACGGTACTCACAGCTATACGAATTGTATACTCAAATTAAATTTTGATTTCGATTTTATACGAAGACCGTAATACCTATTCTGCTTCACTAAGCATCATTCTGCTAATCACAGTGGTCGCAAGGAACTGTTCTCGCTCGCTCGAAAGCTGGGAACATGGGTTCGAATCCCACTCAAGTCATGGATGTCTGTGTGCGTTTATTTTGTGTTTACGTTCTTCTGTGTGCAGGTGGCGGCCTTGCGATGGGCTGATCCTCCATTCTAGTTGTCCTACCGACTGTCTATAGTAAGTAAAAGTAAAGATATCCCTGTAACAGGCCGTGGGTTTTGAGATTTTCTAGACAATCGACTCATAGATGGCGGTAAGGTTGTCAGCCTTACGCGCCGGCCGCCCTTTAACCCAAATAATATTCCTTGTACTCATTTCTGTTAGAGGCTGAGTCGACCCTACGGCCATAATGCGGCTGGAAGGATTAGGTAAATTGAAAAAATTCACCTCATCAGGATTCGATCCCACGACCTTCCGGCTTGTAGCACAGTGCCTCAACCAACTACGCTACCGCGTGCCCCCACCGACTGTCTATAGGATTAAGAAACTGAAATACAAACCAAGGTCCAACAAAGGGCTGTAGAACCATAGACAGATAGACAGATAGACAGACAGAAGTAGGGTCCTTCTTAGTGAACTAGTTGCTACTGAACTATTAGTCAAGAAATTCCCAGCCGTTTATGGAACCCGAAAGTATGTCTACCGCCTGCAGAGTCTAATTAGGCTGCACGTGTTACAAAGCTGCTGGAGAAGTTGCCGAACTACGACGGCGAAATAGTAAGCACCTCACAGCCGCGCTGTTTAGCTTTATCAGCAATACCAATCATACTGGTTGAACATTGTCGGCTGCATATAACCAGATTCTGGGCATGGATTTATGACTCCACGCATTCTTTTTGACACTGAAGTTGGGTCACGGTCAGCTTTACACTCTGCTGCCTATTGGAAAGGGGTCTGAACTTGGGAGTAAGCAGGAAAATGTCAACACCTCTACCGTGAATCGAAACCAGGTTATACGTGTTCTGGAGGTGCCTCCTTCGACTCTCAATCGGAACACTATCTCGACTGAGGTTTCCTGTGGTTTTGCTCAGTCCCTCCAGGTAATTCCAGAATAGTGACTTAAAATAGACCACGACTGATTCATTCCAAACACTTTCCAGACTTCATTTCGTAATCATCTTATCATACGAAGAACTTTCACCCGAAATACTGCAGCCCCGTTCAATAAATCACGAATAAATAAATAAGAAACCAGGCCATTGTTTCGTGCGCTGTTATTCTACTGACTTAGCTGCCATGGCTTCTGTACCAAGCCCATGCACTCAAATTTGACTAAATGAAGAATACAATTTTGATTATATTTAAGAGAACAACGGGGCATGCGGCAACGTAGTTGGTTGAGGCACTATGTTACAAGCCGGAAGGTCGCAGGTTCGAATCCCGATGAGGTCATAGGATTTTTTAATTGACCTAATCCTTCCAGTCGCACAGTCGCCCTGGGGTTGACTCAGCCTCTAACAGAAATTAGTACCGGGAATCTTCCTAGAGGGTAAAGGCTGCCGGCGCTATGATTGACAACCTCACCGCCATCTATGAGCCTACTGTCTAGAAAATATGAGAGCCTCAACATCTCATAACACTACGGGCCTCCACAGCATGTTACAGGGATAGCTTTGCCCTTACTTATTTACTTACTTAGTCCGTTCCTCTTATACCTTTACAGTGTCAACGTTGTTTTTCTCTTTTCGTTTTGATCATTTTACAGATAGCAGGACTCCTTGGACGAGTGATCAGCTCTCTACCTAAGCGCAGGAAAACATAAACACAGAATAAACACATACACATAACAAATATCCATGTCTTGTGTGGCATTCGAACTCACGATCCCGGCTTCCAAGCGAGCGAAGACAGTACATGCCTCAGACCGCTCGGCTACCGTGACCGGCGCATCATATATAATGGATTTAAATCTGGGAATTGGTGACAATTTGCCTTGAAATTCCAAACGGACCCTATTCTAATTTTACAGATAAATAAATGCGTGTTATTTTTGTACTTACAGACGTGGCCGTTTAGCTTCCAGCAGCAGAGTCAAGGCCAACATGTTCAGGGTCCGCGGCTCGGAGACTGGACAGGACCTGGTGAAGAGTTGGGGCGGGGGGTGGATGCGTCTCCTGCTAGCAGCAGTCAGGATCTGGAGGAAGAAGACGGGACCCATCACCATCACCACCATCACCACCATACCTCGGGCTTCATGAGCTCCCATCACCACCACCATCACCATCATCAGTACTCAGACTCGTTACTACATCTCGGCTAGGAAAATACCCGAAACCGTGAACACATTCAGCTCAGTCGGTATTACAGTAATCTGCATCATTCATGACTAAAACTTTAATAGCTCCATATTGTTAACACTACCGGACATGAACAGATTTATAATACCCCTACCTGCATACTCTTGTTAAGTGTAAGTATGGACTAACAAACAAAACAAAAACAAACTCCGTGGCCTGTAGTCCGCAAGCGAACTATACCGACCGAGTGACCGCCGCTTGTCGACGAAGTTAGTGCCAACTTTTGTGGATGGAGGGTGTCGGGTGGTCAGCGCAACGGATCCCCACGGCCTTTAATCTCAGTTTTCTAGACCGGAGCCGCTATTTTCTTGAAATAGTTCCTTAATTATCTTCACGAGGCTGAGTGGACCCCGTTCCAAACCCATTACTTCTCAGAAAATCTGGTAGCGCTGGGAATAGAACCCGGAACCTCTGGATCTGTAGCCAGGAACTCTGACCACTAGACCACAGAGGCGGTCCACCATCCCAAGGAACTTAAAAAAAAATTAACGTAAACCGTGACTTACTATTACGGTCTCACCATTGTGTTGGCACTTAAAACTTAACAATTAAACTGTGTTTAGTCCGCAAACTATAGGAAATTAAGAAACCTTCTGTTGAATCTTCAACGGGAATTACAATTGTCTTCATATAAACACCAGAATGAAAATTGATAAAGATCTTGACAGACTAAAAGAAACAGCTAACTACTGCAGTAAATCACTTATTTAAAATCGCTCTTTTCGCAATGAATCTCGTCCCGATGTGTAAGACTTTAAGCTGTGAGAAACATGCACATCTGCTGCACGTACTTCAACAAGCTCATCTAAGCCGATCTTGACGCAATAATGAAGTGATGTACATTACATCATAGAACAGAAAATTATAATTTCATTTTTAATTACCCTACTTAGATTTTATAATTATCAATCATTCATATTTATTTTATTTATATCTCTTAGCAGCATGGAATTATTTAGAACACGTAGCATAAACCTATCCAGTTTTCTGACACAACTTATTTCCTGGGAAGAGGCCCTAAGTTCTCCGCAAATTAAGGAATTGTTCGTTAGCTACTTTAATAGTTCGCCATAGATGGCTGCAATTTGGAAACATTCATGGAGAACTATTAAATTATCAAACACACATTAAAGTTTGTGATGGCGAAATGAGTGCCCTCTTATGAACTAAATTGCGTCACGAAATTGGGCAAGTTTACACTGCATCAGGGCTGTCCAACTTGCGACATGAGGGCCGTATGTGGCTCTCAATTTGGATTTTTGCCGCTTGAGATTATTCTTCTGTTCCCAAAAATAGTTTTTGATTCTTTTCTCTTGTTATTAGAGGCGACGAATGTTTTCGAAATAAATTAAAAATGCTTACTAAATATTCTTTGCTATATTCCAGATTATTTTAAATACGAATCTATAGAAATGTGTGGAAATAGTACCCATGGTCGTATGCAATATTGATACATTTAGCAAACCTTTTATTGTCCGTTGTTAAGTAACGTCGAGCAAGCAATATGTAATTTAAAATAATGTTTTTTTTTTTTTACCTATTGGTCTGATTCTTATTCGTGTGTTCGTGCTTCTGATGATTACAGGGAAAATATTTTTATGGATATGTTGAAAAAAAATATTTTTTTTAATGTGATCTGCAAATTGGGACTTTAATACAAGTTGGATAGTCCTGCCTTATATAAACAACTGTAGACAGTTTAGCAAATATATTAAGCGCAAATGTATAAATGACACAGTTCAGAAAATTCGCCCATTGAAACATACAAAAGATAAACACTGTGCAATAAAGGATATATAGTAATAACATAGTCTATTTATTGTCACGGCTACTTCTTAACACCTACAGTGACATGAACAACTTATTTCGTCTTGTAACCGATCTCACGGTTCTAAATATCTTTCATGCACGTATGTTAACTTACAAGTGGAATTTATTGGAAGATGTGATAATGCGCTCTGCTTCAGAATGAGAAATTCAGTATCCGAACTTTCTTTGGAAGAGAACAAGGAGATAAAATGAGAAGGGGTTTCTCCTTTTATCACTCGATCAGGACATGCACCAATCCGGTATGGATTCAACTGGGTACTCCCCCAACAGCAAGGGCAAACTTACCGAGTTTCGTCACGTACCTGATTTCATGTTACGAAATGTAACTGGAAGGAAAACTAACGATGTAGGAACCGCTTAATTAAACTCCGTGGTCTGTAGTCCGCAAGCGAACTATACCGACCGAGCGACCGCCGCTTGTCGGCGAAGTTAGTGCCAATTTTACCCGCTTAATTACACGGTGACTATTGTAACAGGCTGTGTGAATGTCACGAAATCTGCCAGGTTTATCGCAGAATTTCAGACTGTTAACGCCACACCAACTTTCATCGTGTACTGCGTTTTGGAGGGCACAGAGAGGACCGAAAAAATGTATACACAGAGTTCCGGTGCCATTTTCTTTGACTGTCTTATCACTCGATAATGTGGCTCTGGCATTCATGTGACTAGCACCACCATTTGAGGGAACATCGCACTACACACCGTACATTACTTTTCGGCTCAACTTTGCGGTTGTATCCTTAATAAACCTCTGTTAAAATGTGTATATATTTTTGAGCCCCTCTCTATTTTGTAATGCATTATTTTCGATTTTCGCTTCCGCCATTAATCACGATACCCACCTTACACATGCTACTAACAGTTCGAGACATCACCAAACTTACTGCCTTAAGCAGGACTTCAAATATGTTTCTTATCTCCTGTACCTCTCACATATCATTATGATGATTACTGAAGGCATACGATGGGGTACCCAAAAGAAACCGAACTAATTTTTTTGTGGGCAGAGCTTTTGTAGTCCCGCGTTTTGCCGCTATGAGCGCATAGAGCTAACATTCCTGTTTCGATAAGCCGACTACCGTTGCTTCAGAAGGTAAGGACTAGTTTCGGCAGAGTTTATAGTGACAACTGTTTTGTGTGATCGTCGTTTTTGCAATGGCCCGAGCACATGAAATTTTTGAAAAAATTCGTGAAATCATCAAGGAAGATCGACGACGGACCATTGAAGAAATTGTGGAGCTGTCGGGAGTGACTTGGAGCTCAGTTCAGCGAATTTTGACAGAAGATTTGGGAATGAAAAGGGTGGCTGCGAAATTCGTGCCACGACTGCTGACTGCTGAACAAAAACAAGGTCGCGTGGAAGCATGCTGTGCTTTGAAAGAAGAGTCCCGAAATGATCAAAACTTTTTTTCAGCGTTTTGCTGATGTTGCTGAGGTGAAGGGAAAAAACGACGGAGGCGCTGTCAAGCATCTCAAAAGATGAATTTAGACAATGTTTTGAAAAATGGAATAAAAGACTAGACAAGTGTATTAGTGTAAGTGGAGAGTACTTTGAAGGGGATTGAAGGTTTGTGCTTAAAATTTGAATAAATAAGTTTAAAAAAAAAAAAGTTCGGTTTCTTTTGGGTACCCCCCCGTATATAGTGGGCGAGACACGTAGCACACAGGCAGAAACAAGAAATCCGTTATATTTTGTTTTCGAATCCCCACAGGAAAAGTCCGCTTGGCCCAACTATGCGGAAATTGGAGGATAATACTTGTAGAGCCACTAAAATATTACTTAAGCTATAGCAGCCAGGATAGCTCAGTCGATATAGGGACGGGGCTACGGATTACAGGACCGCGGTCCGATTCCCAACAGGACAGAGTCCAGGCCGGCTCTGGGGCCCACCATTCTCCTCTCCAATGGGAACTGGGGGCTCTTTCCTTGGTGTTAAATGTCCGGGCCATGAAGCTGACCACTCACCTCCATCTAGTGCTGAAGTCAAGAATGGTGGAGCTATATCTCCATTCCCCCACGCGTCTTCATGGCGTAGTGCTCAATTAATTAAATATATGGACAGATTTATCTGTTTACCTTCACATTAGAATGTAAAAGGGGATACTGAACAGAGACGAAGGTGAAATGGCAGGTTTTGTGAAAGCGGTTTTGAGCAGAATTTTTGTGTTGCTGAAACTATTAACTCGACGGCAACGCCCTAGGTCTTGCGTGCGGCAAGTTAGTTGCTCGCTTAGATATTACAATATTGACCTTCTGGGCGTCATCTCAGTCTGCAGACAGAGACTAACTCTGTCGACTGGGCTCAAATGAGTAGGCTTTTTACCTGAGGATGGAGGCAGATTCTAGTCTGCAAAACGTTGTTTTAAACACAAACATGACGATGTGATAATGCCAAAAACTGAATAATCTTATTTATGTCACCGACACGAACATTTGGGTCTTGTTTAATTAGTTATGTTACTCCAAGTTTGCCAAGCAACTGGTAGCTACTGAAAATGGTAAATAAATTAACCTTTTGGAGTCTCAAACCTGAATCAGCTCTCATCTTACAACGAACAAATTCTTTAAAATTTATAGTGAACCCTTTCTTAAAAATTCCATTCGAATTTAATGTCATGTAAGGTAGGAATAATATTAAAAAGGTAAGAGCAACAGGTAGTGCCGAGGCCAAGAATGCATGGACCTATACCTCCACTCTCCCATATGTCTTCATGGTGTGGTGCTTACTTAATTGAGCATTACTCCCTGAAGACATATGGACAAGTGGAGGTATAGCTCCATGGATTCGTAACCTCTACATTAGATGAAAGTGAATGACAGTTTCACCTTCTGGGACAAGTCTCACTAGGCTGGAAGCTGAGTGGACCCCCCCCCCCGTATCCTGTTACTTCTCTAGTCCAGCTCGCCAAGTCTGGTGCACACCCCGAACGCCTAAACTGACACGTGATCTGGAGCGTGAAGCCACGTCATGTGCGTGTAAAAAGGAGCGTTTCAAAGAAGAATGAAGGGGAAATGAGAAGAGAGAGCAGAAGGAATGGCTGAAGGAAAAGAGGAAGGAATAAAGAAAGAGGATAATGAATGATGAATAAGTGAATTAATAAAGACAAAAGGAAATGATGGTAGACGCGTGGAAAGGAAGAAAACACAGATGCGAAGAGAGGTGAAAGAATAAATAACGGAAATGTAGAAAGAAATAAGAGAATGAACGACAAATGAATGAATTAATAAAGGAAGTCAAAAAGAAACAATGGTAAAAGTAAGGGAGGATGAAAACAAAGATACGAAGAGAGAACAGACAGAATAAACAAAGGAAAGTATAAAGAAAGAAGAGAAGGACTGAAAGGAGGAAGGAAGGAAAAAAGGAAGAAT